GTTTTGGCACTTCCAATGGTCCTGAGCCTGCTCACTGGGGCCAGCAGTGTTTGCCGCAGGCTCCGACACGTGACCCCCAGTGCTCTGGAGCTGCCTGGAAGCTTGAGCCAATTTGTTCCAACACTGCAATTAGCAGTTCCTCATGGCCAAGCTGTGAACAAAGCGCTGTAATACCACCCAGCCTGCTAAGCACAAAGTACTTTCCAAGGGAAGCTCTGTTTTGGGAGGACTCAAGCCATTCAGCATCTTCCTACTGCAGTAGGGCTCGAGCACTGCTCAGCCTCGCCCAGGCTGAGAGAGGTTAATGGATTTCAAACAACTCCTGTGATTAACTTTTCCTAAATCTCCAATTCTTCCATGCCTTCTATTTTTATAAAAGAAAAGGGGGGGGAGGTGGTATTTACAAGGGATTTCATTCAAATAATGAAATAAATGTGATCAGCTGAAGGACCTTTAATCCGCTTTGACTCTTGTGTCCTGGGGAACAAATGAGCATGGAGATCTTTGCTGCTCCAAGTCCCAGTGAGTCAGGGAATCAAGCAACCCTATCCCTGCCTGTCTCAGGGGCAGAGCCCCAGCTCTATCATAAACCAAGTGCTGTATGCAGACACAGGCACACCAGGCAGGGATTCTTGAGTCAACACTGGAGAAAGACACCTCTTTGGTCACTTGCTCCCACCCTGCAGCCTATCTGTCCATGTCCTTGCCTGGAGCCAAGGTAGGAACTGGCCACCTCTCTATTTCAGATGACCAAAACCACATAAAAGGCATCATCTATGTTCAAGCATCTTCCATCTGCAGCATCACCCGCTCTGACAACACCCTCCGGAGTGAATGCGTGCGAAGGGGAGAAACTATCCCATTTCTTTAGGCTTTGCCCAATATATTTAGCCTGCAAATGACATGGTTAGTTATCACTTTAATATCAAAACCTTAACTGAAAACCATGCAGGTGGTTCTCCCTAACTGAGGAGAAACCTTTGGCCTCCAAAAGGGAGTTTGTGGCTGCTGGGCCCATCCAGTGTGGCTTGGTGCTGTGGGGAGCAGGGTCAGGGCTGTGATGGGAGCAGGGGCTGCTGTACTGAGCTGCTGGGAGCCTTTCACCCCCCACAGAAACACCCTGAGTCAATAAAAGGAGGGTGTTTGCCCAAGAAAACCCAACCTGGGGTGAATTAGAGCCACACCTGTGTTATTGCAGGGAAACCTCGTGTAACAGCCTTCTTAATTCCCCCAAAATACTCAAATCCACCAACCTGCCCCCCAACCAGCACCTCTGCTTTGGTCCCCATTGGCTGCCTCATCCTGGGAAGGACATGGACCCTGGGTCATCCCTTCTTGGGGGACAGCAGAGAGGATTCCCCAGGGCAGGGAGGGCAGCACAGCCCTGATGTGTGAAGGGGTTTGTCTCACCTTCATTTCTGCACAGCCCCAGCCACAAATGTACAAAACAGCTTGTTGGAAAAAAACACCAGCTTAGGCTGGGAAGGGAGGAACTAAACACCCAAGCTGTGATTCTCACATATGCCCAAGGATATAATCCAGATTTGCTACTTGCCCTGGCCCTGGCACCCTTTTTTTTTTTATTTAATAAATTAAAATCTCTTTTTGCAGCTGAGCATAATCAGCATTAGGGTGAGGGGAGGAGGGGCCTTTCACTGTCTGCTGCAGAATCACACACGAAATCACTGTCACCACAGCCTGGGACTCTCCTGGTGGCACCATGGAGTGCTGATGGCAGCAGCCCCCAACCCACACACTTACCTCCTCCAGGACACTTTCTTAATTCATCTGCTAGGTGAACTGAAAGGCAGATGTCATGGTCAGGGCTTGTTCATTCCTTCTGGTTGGAGAAGTCAAGGACCACTCATGCTGAGCCCTGTGTGGCTGAATTTAGGGATCTGAAGGTTCAGGAAAAACAAATTTCTGGGCAATCCTGAAGGAGCTCAAACCATTTGGCCTTTGGCCATGGGGAGAAACTGCACAGAGCAGCACCAATGTTCTGCTCCAGCTCACCCAGGACAGATGGGGCCAAACCTCTTTGTGAGCATCAGCACAAGCTCCAGGAGACTGGAGAACGAGGCCCAAACATGCTTCAGCCACTGACTTACACCTAACATATGACTGCAAGACCCACTGGTGTTTCTTACAGCCACCACTGAATGTGACCCAGCTGAGACTCAGCCCTTCCCTCTGATACCCTCTGAGCTGGGAGAAAACCCTCCATAGGCTGCAGGGCATGCTGCATCCATGCTGCTCCTCACAAGCAGCAACTGAGGGTATGAAGGAAGATGACATTGCACAGCTCTAAAGTCCAAAGCCCAGGGATACTGTCCTTTCTTTTGTGCTGTTGTGCCCTCCTTGCCTTTGAGCCAAACATGCAGGATCTGGCCCTGGATGACTGTGAGTGCAGGACTGGGCACTGAATCCCTCTCCATTGCCTCCCAGCTCTCCTACACAGCCCAAGGTCATGTCTCTCAGGCTGAAAGCTGAGGACAGTCGCTGTAGATTGTACCTTGTCAATGGAAGAGCCTTGTTGTCCAGTCACTGCTCCCCATGTGCCCTGTGCACACACAGCTGTGTCCTGGGGGGCTGGGCTGGGAGTCTCCTGCCTCCTCCTAGGAGGTGACAGGTAACCCAGACACAGCCTGTCCTGCTTGTTGGGTGACAGGATGGGCAGGGACACTGGACACAGTACCCACCAGCCCTTGCTGTTGCTATAGAGACAGAAACTGGTTTTCTCTGCAGCGATGCTGGTTGTTTCTGAGCAGTACCTTGGCCATGGCAGGCAGCTGGAGAGAGGGACCAGGGATGGCTTGCCTGGCCAGGAGGGCAGTAAGGCTCTGCCAGGCTTTTCTGGTGTCTCTGTGCCCAGATCTACACTCACCCTTTCAGGGCTCTCCCCAAACCCTCCCAGCAGTAAGCACACAGTGCCATGGTCCCCACTCTGGGCACAGAAATACTGGGAGAGCAAAGGTGTGCAGACTGCAGGGGGGCTGAGGAGGAAGGCTCCCTGAAAAAAACCTGTGTGGGAGAAAGCCCCATCCTGTGAATCCCAGCTTAACCCTGTGAATCACCCCAACTCAACTCTCCCTGCTCTCCTGCCTTGCTTTGCTGCCATATACTGGGAGGAGACCAGCTCAGCTGATCTAACCTACCATGGCAGCTTCTCCAGGCCATGCTCTCCTGATTACACCAGCAAAGATCAGGAGTAACTTCTCCAAAGCCATCCTGCCATTCTGGATATACCAGGAGAAGACAACACAAGTGCAAGGAAACTCGGACCTGGTGACGTGACTGTAGAAGCATCCAGTCTGTTTGCAAAGGTTCAGTAAATTCTGGAGCTGAGAAGTGAGAACTTCCTACAAAGCCACTAGGGCAAAGACCTCCCCTGCTCCCTGCCCCTTAAGGAACTCGCTATCTCTGGCCACACACAGGTGCATCACACACCACCAGAGCTCAGCAACATGCCTCCATCCTTCCTAGGGGGGAGGATAAACTCTGCCAAGCGTAAGAAAGCACCATAGCTCACTTCTTCACAGGAGAAGGAGGTTGGCAAAGAAGAACCCTGATGGAAAGCAGCACATCTCTGTTCCCACCTGCAGCAGCAGGAGGGGAATGGGTCAGCTCCCACCACCCACCGCTGCTCCGCCTGCTGCTGCACCAACCTCCAGGGAGAACTGGTGAGATCCCGAGCTCTCCCCTCTCCTGAACACACTCAGTGACAGCTCTTCCCGAGGGACAGCCCATCCCGGGGAGCTCCGTGGGAGGCTCATCTTTAAAGGACACAGTAGCCCTCCCTACCAGCTCCTGCTCCAGCCCTGGGGGCGGCAGCACGGGATGCCAACAGCTCCCAGGGCTCTGTGCTGACATCCCAGCTGGAGATGCATGCCAGGGATAGATTTTCTGTTTAGCTTCTTTTTCATATTAATCATCAAAGAACAACAAATGTCAGCAGCTTGCAACAGTCATTATCTGAATGTCTTCTTCTCGCCAGCCCCTGTAGGAAGAGGCTCCCCAACATGAAGGGAGAGATGACAGCACAAGACCCAGATGGTTGCTCCCTGGCCTTGCAAGCCAGGTGCATTTTGCTCACTTGGGATAGACAGAAGGACAGGGATGATGGGATCCCTTCATTCTGTAGGATGTATTCAGCTGGGAAGGTGCTGAGGCTGGTAGTGTTCATCACCTTTCTTCTAGAGAAACCACAGAGAACTGGAACATTCTGTTCAAAATACGGGATTTTCTTAGCACTGTCATGACAGGGAACCCATTTCAGAGGCACCATGTTGAGCATGGCCATCACCTGGGTAAGGATCCAAGAGCTTTCAAGGCAACAGTTGCCAATACCAGGATATAACAGCACCACATCTAGGCATCAAACTATATTCAGTGATCTCAGACTGGTTCACAGACAACAATTAGCTCAGCCTTGATTACAAATCAAGAAAAGTCAGGAGTTCTTTCCTCATTTCATAGGAGTAAGACACAGAAATGTTCAGAATTTACCCCAGTAAGGACATTACAGCCAAGTGAGCAGAGGCAGGTGCATGGGCAGTCCTGTCTCCCTGCCCTCAAGCTCCCCAACACTGCCAGAAACAGGCTGTGCTGTACCAGACATACCTTGCAAATTCCCATCTACAGCAGCATTTGGCATAATGATAAAATCATAGCTGTGAAGAGATAGAAAAAGACTTTGCTGAGTATCAAGACCTGCTTTGCAAAATGACCACAATCCAGCACAATGTCTGTTTGATTACTCCCTACTAGGATGAAAATGGGCAACCTGCATGTGTCCCCTATCAGACCAAGAACCCCACACCCTCATAGAGCAGATTTTCCTTCAGTGTCCTGAGCACCCATCTAGGTCCACCCCACCCAAAGCAAACCATGTGAGCCATCGTTTGCATCTCCTCAAGTCAAGACTCCAAGCTGAACGTGTATCTCAAAGCCACACTGAGCTGGTTTTGTCCCTTCCCTCATGATAAGAACCAAACAGGGCAGGATTTTTCTGATTATTTATTATCTGTAAAGTGCCAGCAGTGTCCTGACTCTGCACAAGACACAATTGCTGGCCTTCCAAGAAGAAAAAAGCACTGTGGCCTCCAAAAAATTAACGAATGTGTTCTCAGGAAGCTCTCAGGCACTGCCCATCCTGAGGACATATCAAGGTGCTGATGTGAACCACCTAAAGCAGGCAGACATGGAGCTCATTTCTCTCACCCATAAAGCTTAATTAGGTTGCTGTCCAAACACAGCTTGAGAATGTGGCCAAAACACAGGTATGGCCCTTGATTGCTAAAACCCAATCCATTGCAAGAAACTCTTTTTTTTTAAGGTGGGGAAGCAACATTAAAAAACACCACTACTCATGGAAGTTACAACTGCTTCCAACAAACAACATGTAGAAAATACTTGAAGGGAGACTCTCAAAGTATCTGCTAGTTTCCAGTGGAAAGGCATTAAGTCCCCCACGTTCACCAGATGGATATCAACATCTGACATGTGTTGGAAGGCATCCATATCAACTCCACCAGCCTGAACTGTAAGTAGCCAAAAACAAAGCCAGAGAGGACATCCGTGATGTGGTGCCGTCCAATCATGACACGGGAAAGGCCCACACAGAGGGCCCAGATGACCAGCAGGATGCGGAGAGGGATGGCCAAGACCAGGTGGTTGAGGAAAAACTTGGAGAGCATGGCCACTCGACTGGCATGCCCTGCTGGAAAGGCATAGGTGTCCATGGTCAGGTAGTCCAACAAGCCAGGGTTGATGTCATACGGGCCTTTCCGCTTGGCCAACTTCTGCAAACCAGCCACAATCATGATGTCCAGGAGCAGGGCTACAAAACAAGAGACAAAGAGGGAATGGTCAGAGATAAAAACAGAGCTGAAGGCAATTTTCAAGGCAGAACATTCAAAGATTGTCATTGTCTTAAAATAAAGGTTTGTTTCCAGCCAGATGCCCACAGTTCGGCTGCATACATCCTCAGATCACCACCCAAATGTTGATTAACCCTCCCAGTTCACCCACAGAGAAGGCAAGTACCACTATCACCGTCTGACAGAGGGAGAAACCCAAACTGCAGAGGCAAGTGATCCTCCTAAGGAGGAAGAGAGCAACTGGAAAAGCTAAAATTAAAACTCTTTTGGCCCTCAAACCACCACTCTGGGTGTTTCTGTTGCTGTCCTCCACCCTGTGCTTTAGAAACCTCATGCAGCAAGGACAGATCCCTGCCTGGGGTGCTCTGTGCCAGGGTGACCAGGCAGCAGTGAGCAGTCTGTGGGAGGAAAAGTGCCCCACAGCACTTTCTAGTGTCATCCCTTGTCCTCTCCCAAGCCCATGACCTCCCCCTGGCCAGAGTCAGCCAGTGGCATTGCACCACACTGACAGATTTCACTACAAAAAGAGCATTAAGAAGGGAAAGTCACATGTTAGAGAACAGCTTCTGCATTAGAAACAGCACCATGGTGTGTTGGAGGGTGGGCAACATCCTCCTGGATGTCCCCCACCCATCCCTCTCCCTTTGCCAAAGTGCTGAACACCCACAAGTCATTTCTTGTTGTAGTTGCCTCTTGCTCCCTGTTGGTCACCCCATGCAGCCCCTTCCCTGTGCAAACCTGGTGGGGGTAACACCTCCCAGCCCCAGCAAACCCAGACTTGTGGCAACAGAGGGACCTTTGCTGCAGCTGCAGCATTCAACACCAAATCACCTTTCTTCCCTAAGTGCTTCAGGAGTGAAACCCATCAGCACTTGTCTTCATCCTCCTCTTCTTCATCCCACCCGCTTCGTCCCAGCCGACAGGTACTGTCGTTTCTATTTCCTAGCATCAATTTTGTTCTCCTTCAAACCCCTCATTTGCTTTTCCCCAGCCCTCCTAATTAGTCAGAGTGTTGATTTCAGCTCCTCGAAGCAATGACAAGGACACACACCCCATCACGAGCACATCCTGCTCCCTCAGCATCAACACGAGGGGCCGGTTGCCTGGCTCCCAGGCCCTGATAAAACCCATTCCTTGAGAGCTGACAAGGATCCAGGAGGATGGATGGGAGTGTGGTGGCGATGGGGATGGGAAAGGAGACAGCACATGGGAGACAGGCAGCTCCTCCTGCCTGCTCAGCACCTGGCAGGAGCTGGGAAGTGAGGAGCTGTCACGACGGCTCCGCTCGCCGCCTCCCGCAGTGTGCCACCCCTGCACACCAGCCTCCAGCTCTGCTTTGGGAAGGAGCTGCTATTTATCCTGGCCAAACTCTCTCCTTATTAAAGATTACTTTTCTTCCCCATCTGCAGGGTATGGGGAATGGGGACAGCAGGACCTTCCTGGATCTCCTGTCCACCAGGTCATGCCCTGAGGTCTAAGAGCTGTGGAGGGCAGATGGAGCAGAGGAAAAGATGCACACCAGCCTCCAGCTCTGCTTTGGGAAGGAGCTGCTATTTATCCTGGCCAAACTCTCTCCTTATTAAAGATTACTTTTCTTCCCCATCTGCAGGGTATGGGGAATGGGGACAGCAGGACCTTCCTGGATCTCCTGTCCACCAGGTCATGCCCTGAGGTCTAAGAGCTGTGGAGGGCAGATGGAGCAGAGGAAAAGAACAG